TCTCACTGTCACAGCCCCCCCAGGTAAGGTGCTTAGCTCCCAGCCCCAGCTCTCACTGTCACAGCCCCCCCAGGTAAGGTGCTTAGCTCCCAGCCCCAGCTCTCACTGTCACAGTCCCCCCAGGTAAGGTGCTTAGCTCCCAGCCCCAGCTCTCACTCATCGTCACACACACCCCAGGTACGGTGCTTAGCTCTTTTTCCACGTTCAATATCTACTCATTTTCTCCTTCTTACTTTCAGACATGGACAACTATCTTTCTACCAACAAACATCACTATTATCCTCCAAAACTACGGCAATAGCAAAAGCAAAACTCCTCTGATAGAGTCTGTATCTTGTATGTAGCACATGTATCCCCAACATCTTGGCTTTGGCTAAGCTGGGAGAAAGCAACAAAGGAACGAAGAGACTCCTCTTTAACACTCGGAGGCCACACTTGCCTTGCCCAGAACTCCCACAGTACCCTAGCCAGCTTGTAAGGAGACAGGCCGTGACCCTGACAGCACTGTCCTCTACCTTGCTTCTGTTGACTTTACTTCCCATTGAGCTCTGCCGTTCTGGTTGATCAGGCTCCAATCTGCACTCAGTACCTTTGAACTCACCTACCCATGGAATCATCACCTGTTTCATAATGCAAGGGCTATGTCAAAGGGAATTTAAAAAAGGATAAAACACCAATAGCAATTAAGATAATTCTTAAACCCCCAAATACCTGATTTCTTCTAAAAAACCGTAAGTCTTTCACCTCTACTTTGACAGCAGGTAAAGAACCAAGAGTTATTCAAACTGTTATTTTAAGCAAAAGTAAAAATAAAAGTATCATCCATCTTAAACATGACAGAAGTTAAGAGACTAGGCCAAGGTCACACAGAAACTAAGTTGCAACCCAAGTCATACACTTCAATGTTGTTGGCTGATTTAAAAAATATTTTTTTAACCTTTCTGTACAATTCTTTTTATCTCACCCTTTGAATGTTGGAAGAGAGGTTTCTTAGCAAGAAACTTTACAATAATGATAGTGGGGTGGATTGAGCTAGAAATGTAAAATCAAACTGTAGGCAGAATCACATATTTTATAATAAAGGCATTTGCTTAGGGTTTGAAATTTCTCTAATGCTTATAAGTCTGAGAAGGCAGTAAAAAAGCATAGGACATGATTCTATGGGGAAAATTAATATTTTCTTACCTATCAACTGGGGACCACACTCCCTAGCCTAGGATCCTCCTGGAGATTAACTGGAAGAACATGGGGGAGTCCTTCCCAGCAGGCCTGTTAGATAACAAACTCAGACCATTAGCCAGACTAAATCATGTGTGGTCTCAAAATGGACAAGGCAGGCCTGTCCACTGCCTGTGTATTTTAATTAAGCTGTGCTTCTACTTATAAAATATCAACTTTAAAGATTATGTGGAGTACCTGGGGTTAATTTTTGGTTTTACCTTTTACCTCCAAAATATTAACTACACTTTATGAATTCTAGGAAATATAAAGTCTAAAATTCACCCTCACTCATCTTTTTCAGGTTATGCTTGAAAACTAAAGGGATGGGGATAATGTTATTAATATATTTTAACACAGAATGGACAGATCAATTCACAGAACCAGAGCAAAACTGCCTTGTACGAGAAGTAAAATGAAGAATTTCTGGCCAAAAAAACTTTCAATGAAAACTTGAAAAGAAAATCAATCATTGCAGAAAGTACTGCTAGGGTTGATCAAGAATGTTGACCAAGAATGACTCACGTAAGAATATGGTAAAAAAAAGAAAATAAAAAAATTAAAATGGCCAAAGAAAGTCTCTTCTGGCTGTGGGATCATGTCAGGTAACTTCACATGTTCCTGACTTGATCTTAGCGTCCACTTCTGATAAGGAAGGGCTTGCAGGAGGGGGAGTTGAATAAATAATTCTGGATCCCTCCAGGTTCTGTCCGTTTGTATGGAACAGGGCAGGGTGCTCTCTTGGGTTGGGGGAGTAGAGCGCTAGGGCGACCAGGCACTGAAGTCCCAGTGGCCTCAGCTGGACTCCCACAGCTATTGTCCTTATCTGTGAATAAGCGGTCAAAACTCTGGCCATTAAATGGTTCCCTCATTAATTAGCACGCCCTCATTAATTAGCACGCCCTCATTAATTAGCACGCATTAATTAGCACGCCTTTTCTGGTCAGGCCTCTAGAAACTCCGTAAACATCCAACGATGTGCTAACAGGGTGTTTTGTAATTTTTTTTCTTTTTAAGATTATTCTAGGTGGGGGCCACCGGGCCAATAAAACTACGCATTTCTCTCCAAAATGAACACTGCGATCCTGACAGCGAAGCTGGAGGAAGAGGAGAGGAAAGAGCCCTGGGAACTTGCAGGTGCCAGGATCTCAGGGGAGAAATCTCCCTCAGCTGGGCTGTGGCCAGGGCCCCGCAATCTGGGGCGCGCTGCTGCAGGAGTCCCCAAAGCCAGGCGCCGGCCGCAGGGAAAATCGAGCGGGTGGCGCGGGCTGGGCCCGGGAGGGGACAACCAGCGTCCCGCGGAGCGCTAGCCTGGGAGCCCAGGACCAGCAGGTGGTTTATAGGGGAACTTGCAGCCCCTAGAGGGGAAAGACTCGGGTGGCGAGTCCCTATGCGCTGGCAGTGGCAGGAAAGGAGTGCAACCAAAATCAAGCTCGGCCCTACTTGAATGAGCGGCGGGTTGTTCCTGAACAACTCAGAAGAGTTTTTAAAATCACTTACCCGGCTCTGGCGTGGAAGCAAAATTGGCAGGGGCCCTTAAGGTGACCCAGAAACCCTCGGCAACTTTTGCAGGCTCCGCCTTGCCTTCGCCCCCTAGGGGAGGGCATAATAATCTCTCAAACTCTCTACGAATAAGTTTGGACCTCGTCGGCCACCGCTCGCGCCAATATGGCTGCCCCCAGGGAGAGGCGAGGCGAACGTGAAGGTGGAGAAAACAGACCCTGAATTTCTCACCTATGGATCGCAGCGCAGAATTCCGGAGGTGGAAGGCGCAGTGTCTGAGCAAAGCGGACCTCAGCCGGAAGGGCAGTGTGGACGAGGATGTGGTAGAGCTTGTGCAGCTCCTGAACGCGCAAGAACAGTTTTTCACCACCAGCTCCTGCGCTGGCCGCATCCTCATCCTAGACGGGGTGAGGGCACTTTGTGTCTTTCCGGCGCCTCCCTCGGGTCCAAAGCTTTAAGCCTTGATCAGTGCTGTACCCGAGACAGCCTATTCGTTTGTCCCTCCAGTGAGTGATTTGTTTCGTTATACATGAAATTTAGAGAGGGAATTAGACCAGTACTTCTAGAAGTTTAACATCTGCTCACCCGGGATCTTTTAAAATACAGATTCTGGGCCGGGCGCGGCGGCTGACACTGTAATCCTAGCATTCTGGGAGGCCCAGCGGGAGGATTACTTGAGCTCAGGAATTGAAGACCAGAGTGAGGAAAACCAAGAACCCGTCTCTACTAAAAATAGAAAAATTAGAGGGGCCTTATGGCAGACTCCTGTAGTCCCAGCTACTAGGGAGGCTGAGGCGGAATTGCTTGAACCTAGGAGTTTGAGGTTGCTGTGGACTAGGTTTATGCACTCTAGCCTGAGTGAGACGCTGCCTCTGTCCCCCCCCCAAAAAATAAATAAAGATTCTGATTATTCAGGTCCAGAGTGGGACCTGATACTGTGTGTTTCTAACATGTCCCCCAAGTGATGTGGAGACTGCTGGCCAGAGAACTATCTTGTGTGGCAACAATTACAGAATTGGAGTTTGTGAATACGGAAGGAATTTCAAGACTTTCTACCCTAGCATCATCTCGGCTAAGGAGTTTACTGCCTCCTAGTGGGTCACTCCATTAATACAGCTCAGGAAGTTTTTACACAATGCTGAGAACAATGAATGTAACTATGGTGGCCAGAGTCATCATTTTTCAACTCTATGATGGGTTTATAGAGGTAGTAAATGCGTTGTATTATGGTATTTTTTTAAACTTACAATGAATGTATCTGGATGTGATCTTAAGTTTAGCAGCATTGGTACAAGCAGTACCCCCTTATTCCTACTTTCAGTTATCCAAAATCAACAACAGTCAGAAAATGTTACATGGGACGTTCCAGAAATAACAATTCATAAGTTTTAAGTTATGCATCCTTCTGAGTAATGTGATGAAATCTAGTGTCATCCTCCTTCCTGCCCTGAACATGAATCATCCCTTTGTAGATTGTCCCACAGGGTTCTTCAGTCTTTTTTTTTTTTTTTGCTACCGCACATTGGAAGAATCAGAGTTGTCTTGGGCAATACACAAGAAAGCTGATTAGCAAAAGAAAATAAAAAGAAAGAAAGAAAAAGGAAAAAGGTCCATGCATACTTTTCATGGTATCTGACACTAGAGATAAGCAAAAAAGTCCCTGGAGTGCAGGTTGGACCCTTGTGGAAGAGCATCCAGGCTGTCTGTACTCCCCACCCTTTAGTCACTTTGTAGCCATCCCAGTTATTAGATCCACTCTTGTGGTATTACAGTATTTTTATTTCAAGTAATTATAAGTCTAATTTTACCTAATAATGGCCCCAAATTTCAAGAGTAATGAGCTGGCAATTCAAATATGCCAAATAGAAGCCATGTACTGATTCCTTTAAATGAAAAGATGAAAGACTTAATAAGGAAAGAAAAGAAATTGTATGCTGAAGTTGCTAAGATCTACACTAAGAACGAATCTTCTATATGTGACATTGTGAGGAAAGAAAAAGAAATTAGTGCATCCAAGGTTTCTGGTATCCACTGGGGGTCTTGGAAATATTCCCCTGAGGATAAGGGAGGATATTCATACTCTAGTGTGATATAGTGATCAAGTCTTAGACTTTGGATGATACTACTTAGGTTTGAAATAACTTATCAGAATTATTGATTGTCTGAGCTTAAGAAAGTTACCTAAACTCAGCTCCTTCCTGTTTTATGAACTGAGGATAATCAAGAATATCTGCTTCATAGAGATTTTGGGGTGGAGAAAATGGGATAATTTATTTGAAATACTTAATATTATTTTAAATGCCCCATGTTAAGAATGTTGTAAATGTTGGCTGTGTATTACTGACTTTGATGGTAATATTGGAATCAGAGCACAGAAAGACAGCTCATTCCTCGGATCATTCTTTAGGTCCATTGTAAACATTGTTTGCTGGTCTCTCAAGTTATTCCTTCCATTACTCCCTAAATCCTGGCATCTTTGCCCACGCACTCTTGCTTGCTGCATTTTCCGCTACCCTATCTCACCTGGGTTTTTGTAGTGGTTTCCTAACATGTCCCCTAACTACCAATCTCTCTTCTCCAAACCATGTTACACACTGTTAATGGAATCACCTTTCTAAATGCCTGTCACTCACCTATGCTGAAACCCTTTATTACACATTTTTCTACATCAGAAAATCCAAGTCTCTATCTAGTATAGGGTGACCAGATTTTGACATTTGTAAAGCGGGACAACATGGGGTGGGGGGCTGGGCAGGGGATGGGGCAGGGGCAGGTCAGGGCCTGACAACAATGCAAACTTCTTTGATAAGCAGTTCTCGATAATCGCTTCTCAACAATTATTTGTTATTATTACAGTTTAACATTATAAAATTAACAAAAATAATATAAAACTCA